TAAGCTCAGTAGGTGAGTTCCCATGCAGTATTCTACCTTCAACCAAATCTCCATGTATCTACAAGAATTTCCAATAGTTGCAAAAAATGAGAGTGAAAATTTTGGTTCTTGAGGAAACCTTATCTGAATGGAAACTCGATATACAGGAAATATGTTTGTACTTCCTTTCTCTGGGTAAAGGTGCAGTTCGAGAGATTCGTGTTCTGTTTCATATTTTCGTCATTTGTACAGACTTTGAAAATTAGATTGATGTTCTTAATCATACAAGGTTTTGAAATACACACACTCTTACACCTCCAGGGATCATACCATATTAATAGATGTACTAAGGTAGCGATAGTGGAGTTTTGGATTATGCTTATAATCCTGAATGCCAACTGCTATTTATGATGACAGTACTATGTATTGATGAAGATACCTGTATCTGGACGCTGTCATCTTTTGTTAGATCAAATACTGAATAGTTGTATCCTTCAAGGTAAAGTGACCTCATTTTTGATGTCATATAAAAAGGTGAAGCATAAGTTGTACTTTCATCACCCCCTGCCCTGCATTTAGACAAAAGCACATGTTAAAATGGTGATTAATTTGATCTTCAAATATTATATATAGTTTACCTGTAGCTAACCAAAATGTGATAGGTTGATCACCTCTCCCCATTCCTTGCTCTTCAAATATTGGCACCCTCTTCCCCTTGAAGTCCATATGTGAAAACTGCTAACCAAAACCATAGAATTTTTCGCTTTTTTCACTAGAATATGTAATGCAGATCCTATAACATCAGTAACACCTTCATTCTTCATTACTACGTCTTCCTCTTCTGCCGGTGAAACTATTATAATTCCTCTCTTCCTCGAAAAATATCTACTCTATCCAACTCTAAGTCTCCGAATTCAACCAAATTTTGAAGCAGAGGCTCTGTAACTATAAGTCCTTGGAGAAAGCTTTTGCCGATATTCCACTTTTGGTTTTGCTAGTCTCAATTGGAATCCAATTTGATTGTTGTTTTTCTGATCAAACAGCATCCAGTACCTAGCATAAGTGGACGGCTGCTTTTCTATTAATTCAGAATTTTGTATACTGTGTTTCCTTTTCTTCACACAGAAGATCTTCCCAGTAATCAGAAGAGCAGGTAACTGTATTCCTTTTTGTTGACTTTCTTGATCCATTACAATGCTAAAAGAGGTAAAATCTTGATTAGTTGCATGTAAAACGATATAAGAGGGATCAATGGTCCTGATATTATCAATAGTTTGATGATTGCATATCAAGTGGATATCTCTGTCTTTGATAACAAATGATCCTCCACTCTCTGCTGCAGAAACAAAGGATCGCCCTGGGACTGTTGACCACATAGATATTGAAGGTTGAGACTTATGGAATATACATAGAGACCCACCATTTTTGGATGACCAATTCAACTGAAAATCCTTTCCAATGTCATAGATCTGTTTTGAAATTGAATAGAAGATTTCCATGAATACAAGGGAGAGTTAGGAGGAGATTGCCAAGAAGGAAAAAATAATTGCCAAGCTTGAAGCATTTAAGAGAGGAGCAGTCAGAGCTAAAGAAATCAAAGATAACTTTTTGAATCTACATTTGATTATAACCTTTCAAATTTTATTTTAATGCATTTTTTTAAGTTAATATATTAATTATTTTTATGTCTGCACAAAAACTCAAGGGAAAGGAAGCGCTACGGGACCTGATGGCTCGGAAAAGGAAGTGAGATAACAAATTTACATAAATAAAATGATTTGTTAATATTTCATTTCTATGTGACTTATAATCCGATTTGTTGTATACAATTGAAGGAGGGTGGAGTATCCAGAAGGCAGACACATTGGCTTTGTCTTGAACGATCTTCAAAACGAAAAGAAGATTTGACGTTTTTAGAAGCTTAAATATTTTTTTTCAATTTCATTACATTAAAAATTAATTGTGTGACGCAGAAAGTTGAAGAGTTAAAAGTGTCAGAGCATCTTCGTTCCGGTTTACCAGTTAATGACTGGTAAATAATTGATTTCTATACTACATATTTTATCTTATGAAATTACTAGAAGGATATTTACCATGGTTATCCTACATTGAGAAGACAATGTCCGAAATAATCGAGAAAACTTTATTTTTGTTGATTCATAATGCTACAAGCAAGATCGCTTTAGATTTACTGTTTTTCGTATGATGTCGTAAAAATTTCTAATAAAATGTTCAAAATCGTGGATGTTCCGTTATTTGTCAATAGTGACTATTAACGTGTATCTAACTAAAAATTGGATCTGAACCATCTTACTCCATGACTCATATTGTTAAATGAGTTGCCTATATAAAATACACAGTCATACACTGGTTCACTGAATCCGTAATGAAATAATTTTCATCATCAATTTGAAGAATTCTGACATTGAAAAACACATTACAATTCAAGTTGGAGAA